GGAGTCTATGCAGTAGCTGAGACTGGGGAAGGTCTTATTCCTTTTGGAGATGAGGAAGCTGGGGCTCCAAGGTGGTTCCAAGTTTAGGAAGGCAATTAATGACAGTGCCTCTTTTCTTTTCCCTTTATTTTGATTCGTCAAGTAAATAGAAGTACTATGTAAGTGAAATTTTTATCACAAGTTCATTGGGATAAAATGAGACCGTACATTTAAAACACAGACTAAGTGCTGTGAACCGTAGTCTCCTCCTCCTTGGTCCTGTCCTGGGTCAGACCATCAGAAGAAACTCAGAAAGCAAAGGTCACATTTTATGAATTCAGATAAGAGAAGTCTGTTGCTATCTTCAGGTGGCCATAAATGAAGATTGGCCTTTGTGCTTCCTGGGACTTAGTCATCAGATCCAAGAGGTCAGAAGGTTCGTTACTAGGATCAGGATCGAGAGCTGGCATCAGCTCAAGTCACAAGTACACACAGTCTGTTCCTCCAATATTGAACAGGACACAGCAACCTCTGATTTAACTACCGATCTCTTACCAATGCTATTATTGTCTGTGGCTTGAGAGTTTGACATTTTATTTTGGAATTCATAGAGATCCAGGAGAGTTATTTTATATATTACATGGGTTATTTGGATGTATCTCCTCATCTCTTTTTTATTTGGAAGTTAGATATTTATTTCAGTATTTCACAGAAGTCCAGGAGGCGTGGCAGGAAACTTTTCCTAGTCCTGTTAAAAAAAACACCACCTGGAAGGCCCCCATATAAAAGAGAGGTTTCCTACACTCTCCTCATGTGCTTCCCTGAAGTGTTAGGACAAGAGTCTGGTGTGCATGGCAAACACACTAATAATTTACATTAATTTAGCCCCCATTTTCTGAATTTATTGTTCTTTTTTAATTGTGGGTCTGCATCCCAAGGGTCCTAGTAGCTTTGGGGTCCTCTCTGCTTCCATCACTCTGGAGATGGAGCTGTCTGATTAAGAGAGTCCGTTAGCAACGGAAATAAGATGAGGATATTAAAAGATGCTGAAAAGTGTTGACTAAAACTCAATACTCATTCATGACTTAAAAATTATTGGTTAACCAAGAGGATAGAAGAAACTTCATTAATTTGATATAGGATAGTTGCTGCAAACTTTTACTACAAATCTTACCAGAGAAATATTAGAATCATTCTCATTTAAGTAAAAAATAGAGATGTTATTACTGGTACTATGATGGAGAAGGGGTTTAGAGTGAATCCTGCTGACACAGCCTAAAATTACTAGATATGTTTTTTTAAATATTATTTTTAATGTGGGGATGGAGCTAGTAGGAAAATGACAGAAGTCTCAAGAATCCAAAATTTATAAGATTGTGCTAGGCCCGGAGGACCTAGAAAGGGGAATAGGTGTTTGCCTGGGGGGTTATATGGATTCCTGGAGATAAGAGGCCTTGTTTTGCTTTGTTTTTTCTGCTGTTGTTTTTTGTTTGTTTTTGTTTTTGTTTTGTTTTTTGAGATAGGGTCTCACTCTGTTGCCGAAGCTAGAGAACAGTGGCATCATCATAACTCAGCAACCTCAAACTCCTGGGCCCAAGCCATCCTCCTGCCTCACCTCCTAAGTAACTAGGACTACAGGCACGTGCTTCACACCTGGCTATTTTTTTTTATTTTTTGTAGACATGGGGTCTTCCCTTGTTCAGGCTGGGAAGCCTTGGCTTTAATGGGAGAATAGGAGACAAAGCCTGAGGCCTAAGCAGGAAGTCGGATCAGAGCCTTCAACATAAAAAGCAGGATCCCCCAAGGGTAACCTCCGCAGTAGGATCACATCCTCTGTCTCATAGAGGGAGACAGAGCAATTCATGGCCTTCTCAACTTGGCTATGGATGCAGAAAAAAGGAAAGTTTCCTTTAAGAACTCCTAACAAGAATCCTGCCACCAGTTAAGTCTGGATCAGAATTCACACTGTTCGTATGGCTAGTAAACCCCAAGTTTATGGTGGTCCTAGATGGTTCTGATCTCAGCTCCAGGCAAGAGCAAATGTAAATCTGGAGGCAAACAGTTTCAATCTCAGGCTCAAAGAACCTCAGAGGGCATTTTCAAGAAATAAGACTTCACTGTCCAAAATAAAAATGCATTGAAATCATGAACATCCTAAAAATGCCTAGGACATCTAAGTATTTGTGAACAGTAACCCCTAGAGTTGTACAGTGTACAACCCACACAACTGTATGCATCAGCTCTGAAACTATCCTCTGTCATGGCTATTACTCAAAATTATTTTAGAAAAGAAAAGGTAATAAGAAAAAAAATTAAACTTTGTAAAGATTAGAAAGGAAGGAGCAAAACCCTCATGATATATGTTTGCTTATCTAGAAATTCCAAAGTAATAAATTGATAAACTTTTATAACTATTAAGAGAATTCAGCAAGGTAACCAGGAAAAATATCAAAACATGAAATAGATTTCCAAAAAAAAAAAGAAAGAAAGAAATAGATTTCCTATATATCAGGGGAAAAAATCAGTAGAAAATATAAAAGCTATGGTTGAAATTGTCTCAATAAATAGAATACAAAATATAAAATACAGAGTGTCTAGAAATGGACATGTATAAGTGGGAATTTAGATAGAAGTGACATTTCAAGTAAATAGGAAAAAGATGGACTTTTCAATAAATGGTATTGGAACAATTTATTATAAGAATTTCTAGGTGAATAAAGATTTATTTATTTATTTATTTATTTATTTTTGGGGAGACAGAGCCTCAAGCTTTCCCCCTGGGTAGAGTGCGATGGCATCACAGCTCACAGCAACCTCCGACTCCTAGGCTCAAGTGAGTCTCCTGCCTCTGCCTCCCAAGTAGCTGGGACCACAGGTGCCAGCCACAACGCCCGGCTATTTTTTGTTTTTGTTTCTTTTGGTTGCTCCCATCATTGTTGTTTGGCGGGACCAGGCTGGATTCAAACCTGCAACCTTAGGTGTATGTGGCTGGTGCCTTAGCCACTTGAGCCACAGCACCGAGCCAAGACTTATATTTTTAAATGATAAAACTATTGCAAGAAGTGTGCCAATGTTTTTTTTGCAGTTTTTGGCTGGGGCTGGGTTTGAACCTGCTACTCTGGCATATGGGGCCAGCACCCTACTGCTTTGAGCCACAGGCACCACCCCCCAATTTTTTTATAATCTGGGAGATTGAGAAAACTTTTTAAAATCAGCTTCAAAGAGTAAAATCCATAAAGGGGAAAATTGACAAATTCAACTATTAAAACAACAACAGTAAAAATTCCCATTGACCAAAAACTAATCTTAAAAAAGTTAAAAAACAAGGGCAGCGCTGGTGGCTCAAAGGAGTAGGGTGCAGGCCCCATACGCTGGAGGTGGTGGGTTCAAACCCAGCTCTGGCCAAAAACTACAAAAAAAAAAAAGTTAAAAAACAAATGACTGAATATTTAGCACACGTGTATTGATGGAGTTCATCGATACACTGATAGTTGTCTTTTTTGCAACTATTCATTTCTGCTGTTGTAGGGCAAAAGCAGCCATATATATCTAATGAATGAGCATGGCTATGTTCCAATTAAACTTTATTCAGAAAAACAAAAAACAACTGATGGGTCAGATTTAGCTTATAAGCCATAGTTTGCCAAACTCAAGTTTATTTATGTATTTTTATTTTTATTTATTCTTTTTTTTTGAGATAGAGTCTCCTTATGTCATCCTCAGTAGAGTGCTGTGGTATCACAGCTCACAGCAACCTCAAGCTCCTGGGCTTAAGTGATTCTTTTACTTCAGCCTCACAAGTAGCTGGGATTATAGGCACCAGCCACAACGCCTGGCTATTTTTTTGTTGTAGTTGTCATTGTTTAGCAGTCCTGGGCTGGGTTCGAACCCACCAGCCCAGGTGTATGTGGTCGGCTCCCTAACCACTGTGCTATGAGCACCGAGCCCAACCTCAACTTTAGAATAAGTTTATTATACACATATAACTAAAATATTTCAAGTATTTTTGGGTACAGGAAAAAAAATCTTTCTTATTAACCAACAGATTAAATAAGTTGTGGCCTCCTAGCCATATTATTAGAGACCACATGTGAGGGGTTAGCACCTGCCACAGCCAACTTGCTGAGTCAAGGAGGAGCCTCCTGAGGGGTCTAGATAGGGGTGGCCTTAAAGCAATGCCTCTGGCCATAGCTCAGCCATGGTGGGCTGCAATGTGGGGAGGAGGGCCTGGTGGCATTGAAAGCATGTAGGAAACACTCATCTCTGGGGACAAGCTGTCTCCTCTTGCAAGTAGAAATAGGAAACTCATTGGTCCAAAGGTGACTCAGCCACAAGGCCATACAGGAGTGTGGCAGAGCTCCAAGGGGCCCCTCTCTGAGGCGGTGAGGCCTGTTGACCGTCATGCTGCCATCCTTGGCCCTGGAGGCCGCCAGCACAGTAAGGCTACAGTGAGAGAGTGAGAAGGAGTTTGCTTGATTAGACAGGTGGACAGAGAACTTGGGATTGCCAAAAAGTTACTGTCAGTCTTCATGTAAAAATTGGACGTCCTTATACCTATTTGCTGCCTTAAGTGTTCTCATTTTTTATTACATGCTTTAAGCCAATCCCTGGTGAGAAAAGCAAAAACAGGCCAAGAGGAACTGGGGCTGAGTTATTACCAGTTCCCACAGTCCCGCATGGTGATATTGCCCAGGTCAGGGGACCCCAGCCCTGTAACAGAGAGGGGCTAGTGGTATGTGTGACTGTGGGAACTCATGAGAGTTGGTTTCCACTGTGATTATTTTTCGAGGAGACAAGGGCAGGACCAGAGAGCAATGGCAGTGGGCTCAATAGTAAGAGATTGTCTTCATGCTTTTTTCAACCTGGAAATGAGGAGACAGCAGTGTCACAGGCCAACGTGACCCACAACCTGCGCTGACGCTGACCTTACACATAAGGTACATTTGTGTTCCCACACATCCTTCACATGGAACAGAAGGGCCGTGGGCTCCCAGCAAAACAGAAAAAAAGAAGAACCATACCTGCTTGGAGGTAACTTCTTTGCTCTGCCTTCTCCTTCGGGGTCCACTTTCAACAATCGGGAGCAAAGGATCAGTAGAGCCGAAGCAGCAGCTTCTTGTTAAAGACAGAAGTCCTCGCTCCGTCTTTGCCTTTCTCAAAGGGACTCTTGGCTTGCAGGCAGAGGCTGAGGCTCCACTGAAGTAAGGACAGTGCTTCCTTGTCGCCTGCTAGTCGAGTTATGATTTCCCTGGCTGTGAGCCAATCTTGCCTCTCAAACACTTCAGTCCAAGCCAGGGGTAGGCACTAAGTGAGCCCCATTGGCACTTCTGAGTCCTAAGTCCAGCCCTTGAACTAGCAAATGAGCAGATTACCGTATTTACTCCCATTACACACCCTCTACTTTTTTCTCTCAGGTGTCTTCACCGAGAAATGCAGGAGAAGGGGAAGAGTGTGGCCCATATCTGCTTTGTCTGAGGAATTCTGAGCAAATTTCATGTGTTTGAGGGTCTTTGACTTTTACCACTGGCGACAGAGTTAATATGAACCCAGATCTCCTAACACGTCTTGCTTTGAAGCCACCTCCTTGGACAGTGTTACCTAACATGAAAGCGAGTAAAGTACTGAATTACCTCGGTGCCAGTCCCAGGCGTGGTTATGGAAGAGGGCGGCAGGTGCACAGTGAGAGGGAAAGTGTAGGAAGAGGAGCTGAGGACAGAAGCTGACCAGGAGCAGCAGAGTGGCCCTGCTGGGATGAGCAGCCCCCCTCACTCTTCAGCCTAATCCTTCCTGATGCCCAGCAGCAGCTGCTCTCAAGTGAAAACCTACGAGAAAGGCCAAAGCTGTGGATTTCCCAGCATGTGTGTTCTGCTTGTTTTGTTTACAAGGATGCTCTAGACATGTGTGCAGAGTGGAAGGAAGTGTTCCTGCCTAAAAGTATAAGCTTCTGACAGCAGTAAGGCCACAAGGAGTGAGAGAGAGAGGGAGTTTGCTTGATTACACAGGTGGACAGAGAACTTGGGGTTGCCAAAAATTTACCATGGCAGTCTTCATGTAAAAATTGGAAATCCTTACACCTGTTTCCTGCCTTACATTGTTCTCATCTTGAATTACATGCTTTAAACCAATCCCTGGTGAGAAAAGCAAAAATATCTAAGTATGACGTTTCGATTTTGTTTTTAATTAAATCAGTTTCTTCTGACCAATTTGTACTTCCTAGGGGGTGAGGAGGACTAGAGTCTGGGATTTCCTAGGAGTTTACATTTTTCAAGGGGGTGCCCACCTTGCTCTTGTCAACCAGACGAGAACTTAAGATGCCTCCTGCAGCTCAGTGCTAGGGAATTATTGCCCACAGCAGGGATTGGGACCCATGGTCATGGAGCTCTTTTCTTCAGCCAGTCAAGTTTCTGATGGCCCACAGGGATTCTGCTAGGATTGGGGAGCACTGACTCATAAATACCAGTGGATGGGAGGCTGAGTTTGGCCTTGGGCAAGGAGGACCTAGAGACAGTGGAATCCTGGATTTGAATTTCAGAGGAAGTGGCCTGTCTAGTGCGCTCTGGAGTCGGAGGGTAGTAGCATGGGGCTGTATGTGTGGCCTGCAGCACCCCTGAGGAACACAGATCAGAAGGCCATGGCCGTAGCCAAAAACATGAAAAAGCTGGGAAGGACTAATAACTCACACCAGGAAACTTTCTGCATTGGCAGGCGTTTCTGTGTCCAGGGAAAATAGGCATGACCTCAGCTTAGGTGAGGCACCTTGCCAGAAGTCCTTGGGTCACTGGTAAAATACATAGCTTTCATCATCTCTCAAATTCCTCCTGGCTCACAAGGGCTTGGCCTGCTCTCTCTTATAAAAATGGTGAATTATTTACAGCAGAAACAGGGAACAATGAGCAACTGTTTCTGAAACCACTGAGGCAAAGCAAGTATTCTTCAGGGATCTTCTGGGTTTCTTTTCCTCTCATTCTGTTGTGTGAAGTCCTGGACCAGAAGACAAGCAACAGCTGTCAGAGTGCCAGGCCTCTAGGCTAGAACGGCAGTGTTAATATTAGCTATGGCTCTATGTTGAAACAAGTTAAGAAAACACCTAGGAAATACACCATAGTATTACCCAGCTTACTGATGTCCCCAGGTGTGGGCCAGAGTCACCCTCAAGCTCACCTGGGATGTAGGAAAAATTTGAGGTCCTAACCTCCATTCTATACTTTGTCTATTTCAGGAACTGGAAATGTGGAGCTCCTGAGTCACTCACCAGAGAAAAACAGATCCAGTAAGTCCAAGGAGTTTCCTTCCTGTGAATCCATTTAATGCTTTGCCTCCCTCCGGGGAACATTCCTATTTAAAAACAACAGAGAAAACCAACTAAAGGGGCGATGTGCTGGCGGGTAGATTCAGGTGAAGCCTAAGGAGAGCAGGTGTTTATCATCCAGTCGCATAGGTCCTCTGGGCTGCCCTCTGGAGTGTGTTCCGGGGACACCTAGGGCAAGAGCATGAAGGTGATGCTCTTGTCCTCCTGAGCCAATTGTGAAGGAACTTTCTCCTTTTCTGTCCTTTTTTCCTTGAGTGGAGGCAGTCCCGAGAAGACTAGGAAGAGGAACCTTCGTTTTGAAAGTGGTTTCACTTTATCACGAGTAGAAGCAGTGACACAATTTTTCCCTTCCTAAAAATGGCAGGTTCCAGCAACCAAGGGTACCACTAAAATTGAGCCCCAGCTGTTCCAGACCCTAAAATTACTCTGAAACTCCATCAATTATACTACTTACGGTTGAAGTTCCAGTGACTCCCTTCTCAGAATCTGGGAGCACTTTTTCGTGTTGCCTGTGAATAACACCGCCGAACGTGCTACCTGTGGCTTATTCTCTCACTTGGTTATAACCTCCCTGAGGGCAGAGGCCCTTACCTACCTCTCATATCACCTGGTACCAAATTGCATGTTTTTGGCTTCCCAGTTCATGCGATGCCCTTGACTAAAAGCGCTTCATTTTTCCAATTGTGTTTTACTTTTTTAAGACCAGTCAAGGGAAGCGGCAGTGGAGAAGGAACAAATGAATCTGTGAGTGGTCGTGCTTAATTAACTGCAGACACCATGCACTAGGACCAGCAAAGGCTACTTCAAATTTTGAATTTTTAAAACAAAATTTAAGGCTTCCTTACTAGTGCAGTACTGTTCTGTTTGTCAGTGATCGTAAGAGGAGAAATATTGCCCCAATCTTTGTTTTTCTAGGACAGGGTACATCCTTTCAAGTTTGTATGATTAGGTATTGTTTTTAGCTAAAACATTTTTCTGTTAAACTGATAATTACTCCTATTATATGCACGCACGCACGCACGCACACACACACATTTTGCTTCTATTATATTTCATTTGTTCTTCTTCAGGAATTCCTGTTGCTTGTGAAATTGGTCATCCGGGGCAAACCTCTTTGTTATTTTCATCTTCTGCCCTATCCATCCTATCCCCTATTGGATAACTTAATACATTTGTCACCTACATCGCCGATTTTCTCTGCTGGGATATTTCTGCTCTTTTAGACTGCAACTAAATGAACAGATACGCTTTGTCATTGGAGTTTTAACCTCCTTGCATGGTTTTCCATCTTAGCGGCTTTCGTTGCTATTTAGCCTGCATCTGTGCATCTGTCCGTTTTTTTGGCCTTGTCTATTACTATTCCCCACTTCAGTTTCTGAAGAGACCCTTTCTTTTTGGCGCCTAGTAAAAACAAGCATTGAGTATGTGCAGAGTGCAGGAAATGATGTCTTATCTAAGGATTTGCTACTCTAGAGGAGAAGCCAGCAAGTGTGCTATGGAAAGATAGACTGCGTGTTATTCTGTCTTTTACTCAGCTAAGCCCAAAGATTACACGTTGGCATTTAAGGTGTAGCAAAGAATGATGTATATTTATAAATCGATTTATACCACTATACCATGTATGTATATAATATATTTATAATCATTTACATTGTGAGCCAAGCCATGTAAAAGAACCTACTTCTCTTAAGGGCAGAAAAAAAAAAATATCCAGAAACCAAAACAAAAAAAACTTCTCTGAGCTTTTGCTTAATACTTGGTGACTTTACAATCACATCGTTGTGCTTGGGTACTCCTTGCCTATTGTAAGAGACCCTAAAACCTTGGTGCAAAGGTGGGGACCACATAACAACCAGGGAGAAAGAGATGCATTGTTTTTTATTATTAAGGACCATCTAAGACGGCTATGGTTTCGTTCTGCCATGTTATGATTATGTGGTCATTCCCAAGTCACAGAAAGAAAAATCCCCTTATTCCTTTGCCACCGTAACTTTGCTCTCTTCCTCTCTCTCCTTCCTAAACACTGACACATCATCATCTGATCTATGTTTTAACTGTACTTGACATTTTATTGACGTCAATTGATATGCACCTGCAGAAGAGAACAAATTTGAATAATCCAGGGAAAACCTGACAGCCTTACTGATCTGTAACTAGCAAGACTGGCAACGTTTTAGGTATTAGTGTTTGATGATCAGTCCCTAATTAGAGACAAACCAAAGCATCCCATCAACACTGACACCAAATACTACTTACTCCCAACTACTCATTTGTTCTTTTTCTCTTTTTGTGTTTTCTCATACTGTGTTTGAGAATTTGCATGAAGACTTCTGTCTTCTCTCACCATCCTCTTTCCCTTTTTGACTTCTTACATGTGAATGTTGAGCCCACAATCAACAGTGGTTTTATTTTTGTCTTCTACTCAAAGTTAAAACTGGCCAAAGTTATTGGCTTTTTACTTTGCTAGAACAACAGACTATCTTATGTTTACATACTGGTTTACTTGTTATTTATGTGCAAATTGCCAAAATGTAAATTAAATATAAATGTTCATGCTTTAAAAAAAAAACCAAGCAGATACCTTTTCCTTTTTTTTTTTTTTTTTTTTTTTGAGACAGTCTTACTTTGTCACCCTGGGTAGAGTGTCATGGCATCATAGCTTACAGCAACCTCAAACTCCTGGGCTCAAGCTATCCTCTTGCCTCAGCATCCCCAGTAGCTGGGACTGTAGGTACCTGCCCCAACACCTGACTATTTTTAAAGACAGCATCTCACTCTTGCTCAGGCTGGTCTCAAACTCCTGAG